TAAAACAGTTTTTTATGACGAACATATGTTTGTAAAGCGCATTTCCTCCCATATCAAATTCTCATCCGGTGTAATGTTTCCTTCGCACGTTCTCCAGTATTCTCATCATCAAAAGAATGATATCACCTGTACCATTTTATTTGATATTTAGTTCTCGAGGAATTGTATCGCGCATAAAAAATATGGGCATGAGTGCGAGGAAAAAAATACTCGGGCGCGAGAGAGAGGGAACCCGCGGTGCCCGCAATGACGCCCCCACTCCTGCGCGCGAAGAGGACGGTTTCCCCTCCCTTACGGCGTGCGCGCTTACCTCCCGCGAAGACGACGAGCATGGTTTCCCCCTTCCTTATAGGTGCGCACTTATTTCGTTACATGTAAAATTTGCGTTTTTTTTTTACCCAATTTTGATAATTACCGATCTCTGATAATTACCGACCGGTGGTGTCCTTTTCTACCATCGGTACTAATTAACGACCGTTGGTAATAATTACATCCTACCTTACCGACCGTTAGTGATAATTACCGACCCTCTCCCCCTCGCCCCCCTCGCCATCGGTTCCTCCCTCCCCCGCTCCCCTCGGAGCCACTGAGTTAGAACCGGCCTAGCTATACTACTACCAAACATAACAGAAATTCTAGACCAGCTTCGTGGAGCAAATTACTTCTCTATCCTGGATCTCGCCTCAGAATTTCACTAAATAGATATGGATCCTGAGGATCGAGAAAAAACGGCCTTCTCAACTGCATACGGTCATTTCGAGCTTAAACGAATACCCTTCGGACTTAAGGGCGCTCCTGCCTCATTCCAGAGAGCTATGGAAGCAATATTGGCAGAACTACGTGGTTTAAAATGCTTTGTTTACATTGACGACATAGTAGTACACGGCTGATCATTACAGGATCATTACACCAAGAAAAACTAATGCAATTTTCGACAGATTAAGAAATAGTGGTCTAAAGCTACAACGGACAAATTTAGATGGACGGACCAGGAACAGGAAGCTTTTAATATTTTAAAGGAGAAATTAACATTGGCACCATTATTACAGTATCCTGACTTTACTAAACCGTTTACGTTAACAACTGACGCATCGGGTAAAGCGATCGGAGCGATACTGTCTCAGCAATATGACGGAAAAGATTTATCTGTAACCTACGCAAACAGAATATTAAATAAGACTGAAATTAATTATAGCACGACCGAAAAGGAACTTCTGGCAATAGTGTGCGCTGTTCAACACTTTAGACCTTATTTATACGGTAAAAAATTTGCCATAGTCACAGACCATAAACCACTGACATGGTTATTTAGCGTCAGAGATCCAGGTTCCAGACTAATTAGATGGAGACTAAAATTGGAAGAATACGATTATGAGATCTGTTATAAAGAAGGAAAGAATAATTAAAACGCGGACGCTCTTAGTAGAATGTACGTGATTAAACTTACGGTAACGGCAGACCACGAAAAACGCAAATAACTGAGGATCAGCGGGAAGCGAAAACAATAGGTGCAACTAAAAACGACTCTGATTTTGAAAACAATACTACATTGACGGATTCCGACTCTGACGATTCAGCAAATTCCATGGACAACGAATATACATTACGAATATATATTAACATTTCAAGACACATTAACAGTCGCTATTGAGCATTCACAGCGAACAGACGTGTGCGTTATAGTGACAGTGAGTTACTTGTAATTATACCCAGTGCTCGAACAATTCGGTAAGAATACAATTTCTAGTGACTTCAATTTTGACCATTCCCCTGTCCCCAGGGAACAGGGGAAAAAGACAAAAAAGAACCCTTCTCCAACATGACGTCGCCAACAGAACAAACGTATGCACAGGCAATACAACAAAATCAATTTCCCAAAAAAGATCAAGGAATCGTTATGGAAGCTATCGATGGTATAAAAGTTAGAGATTATGCGAAAGCATTGTGTACTATTATAGAACCAAAAGACATCAAATTCATTTCAAGAATCTCAAACAACCGAATATGCGCCTATGTCGCTAATAAAGAAATTGTGAAACAACTAACAGATAACCGTAAACAGATTCAAATCCAAGAAAAATTTCTAACAATTCTGCTCATAGTCCAAAATAAAAGAGTCATTATATCAAATGTCTGTCTTGTAATTCCGCACGTAATTATCGAAGAAAGTCTTAAAAAACTTAACATAACGCTAACTTCCTCAATCTCATTTATCAGAGCTGGTCTTGCAGATGTTGGACTACCACATGTTTTAAGATTCCGCCGCCAAACTTATATTAACCCAAAAGATATAAACAAAGTCCCCAACTCTATGCAAATAAATTATGAAGATACAAATTACTGGATTTACCTATCTACCGATTCGCTAAGTTTTTTTATATGCAAGGAAAAAGGACACCTAGCAAAAACTTGTCCATTAACTACAAGTACAAAACCCACACACACAACCGCAACTAAACGACTCCGAAATTCCAAGTAAAACTGTAACAACTGACACACCTATAGACCCTGAGCAACAGATAGAAGAAAATGTAAACATAAACTCTACCACAAACAAACGATCCCTGTCCACAACAACCGAGAATACTACACAACCTTACAACGACACGAATTCGGAACATGAGGGAATCGACGATATTACTTTTACTCAACCATGGAAAATTTCCAAACCTGTAAAAAAGAAGAAAAAACTAATCTCTACAATCACTAACTCTAGCACCTCAGACTCTGACACCGACAGAGAAGAAAACTTTACGGACATCTCAAAATACATCACAAGTAAAACTTCGAACAACTTCCCTTTTGATACTGACCAATTAAAGAGGTTTTTAACAACTACTAAAGGAACTAAAGACCTAATAAACACCGTAAAAGACTACACAGAAGACATTCCAGCACTTGTCAACATGTTACTAGAAATTAATCCCCTTCTCCCATCAAAAGGATTAAAAAATTGCACTAAAAGGATAGTAACGCAACTAAATAAATACCTCCACGAACCAAAAGAAAAAGAGAACTAACGACTCATTCTAAAAATAAACTTTTACAATGCATACTATACAATGGAACATAAATGGGTTCTATACCCACAAAGAAAACCTCGGTATCCTCATTAAAGAAAAATCCCCCAAAATTATATGCATACAAGAAACGAACTTCAAGAATCAACATTCCCCAAAACTAAAGGGATTTCAAGTGTTATAAGGTAATCTGTTTGGAGTTTGGAAGATAAATGTTACATACGGTAGTTTTTATTGGCACTTCTACGCTAACTGCTATCGCTTCTAAATCGGTATCTAGGTAAATTTGTTCTGCCTTGATTCCGTTTTCAACAAATGTGGCAACTCCGCCACTAGCATGGTCAGCATTTCGATTTTTGTTGAAGTACCAATAAAAACTACCGTATGTAACATTTATCTTCCAAACTCCAAACAGATTACCTTACACGAATTAAATAACTTAATTAAGTAACTACACCGACCACTCATTATTCTAGGAGACTTTAATAGTCATAACCATATGTGGGGGTCCACGAGAACTGATACTAGAGACAGAACGATAGAAGAATGGATTGAACTAAACGAACTGTGTCTACTAAACCATCAACTACCTACGCACCTAAATATAACAACAGGTACCGCAAGTGCAATAGATCTGACATTAACAAATTCAAATACATCATATAAATTTTCCTGGACAGTGATTGACGAATTATATGGAAGTGATCACTATCCCATTCATATAGTCAATAATGAAATAAAACAGAGAGAAAGATCCTCCCAAGAAAAATGGAGATTCAACGAGGCCAACTGGGAAAAATTCAAAAATGAAATCGATAAAGAAATCCCTCATCTCACACAATTATTAGTAGTAGAAAATCCTGACATAGATGATATAGTAGAAAAATTTACCACCCTAATTATACAAGCGGCAGGAAAATTCATACCTAAAACACATTTGTTAAATAATAAATCTAAAAAAAGAGTTCCATGGTGGAACAGCGACTGTGAACTAGCAATTAGAAAAGAAAAACACGCCTTCAACAGATTTAAGAAACATAAGACAATAGACAACAAAATTGAATTTAAAAAACTTAGAGCAGAGGCCAGGAAAACAATTAAACAAGCAAAAAGAGATTCCTGGATTAAATTTATCTCATCACTGAACCCTATTGTCCCTCCAGAAATAATTTGGAATAAAAACCACAAAATTAGTGGAATAAATATAAATAGATTACCTGACTTTATGAAAAATACTAATGGAACAATACTACAGGGAACTAAAGATATCTGTGATTTATTAGCAGAAATATTCGCAAACAACTCGAAGGATAACAACTCAATTAACGAATTTCGAATTTACAAATCAGAGATCGAGAATAATTAAAAGTTAGAAATAGAAAACGACAACACGGAAATAAATCTACCGATCACGTTAACCGAACTCAAAAGTTCTTTAAACAAAACAAAAAAACTCTAGCCCCGGTCCAGACAACATTCCTAATAATATGTTAAAACAACTTTCCGAAAAAGCACTGAATTTTCTCAAAATAGTGTACAATATCATTTGGACCAAAAGAATCTTTCCAAAGAAATGGAGACTAGCTACTGTTATTCCAATCCTCAAACCAGGTAAAGATCCGACAAACCCCAAAAATTATAGACCGATATCACTCACTAACAATCTTTGCAAATTACTAGAGAAAATAGTGAACACACGATTAAGATGGATATTAGAAAAAAACAATGTGTTTAATCCTCAACAAAATGGATTTCGCCAATACCGCTCTACATTAGGTCACCTCACAAATTTGGAAATAAATATCTGCAAACCATTAAATAACAAAGAACATATTATCCTGATATCACTAGACATTGAAAAAGCATTTGAAATGACATGGAGATACAGAGTTTTAAACATCCTCAATACTAATCAAATTGATGGTAACTGTTTGGCCTTTATAAACAATTTTTTATATGATCGGAAAATCAAAGTACAAATTAACAATAAACAATCAAAAATAGTTGAATTAATGAACGGAATACCTCAAGGCTCAGTAATAAGTCTACCATTGTTCCTTATAGCAATCAATGATATCACCCAAGTAATTAAAAAACCTGGTAAATGCTTCCCTTTTGCAGACGACTTAACTATTATGTTCACAGGTAAAAAAATAAAACAAACTGAGAAACTAGCACAACAAGCATTAGACAATCTATACAAATGGCCCTTAACTTCTGGGTTTAAATTTTCAGAGGAAAAAACCTCATATATGATCATAAATAGACCATCATACTCAGGAATCACACCTTCACTTTATTTAAACAACCAACAAATAAACATGGAACTACAACAGAAAATCCTAGGATTAATCTTCGATATAAAATTGAATTGGGAACTGCATATTAAAAAAGTGAAGGCTAATTGCCAACAAAGAATAAAAATAATAAAGACACTAGCATCAAAGTCATGGGGAGCAAATTCTGAAATAATACTACGAACATATAAAGCAATCATAAGACCCGTACTTGATTATGGTGCACCAATATATGGATCAGCACCTAAAAGATTACTAAAAATCTTAGATCCAATACAAACAACCTCACTCAGATTATCCTTAGGAGCATTCAAAACATCACCCAATTCGAGTGTTATTGTAGAAACTGGCGAAATACCGTTGGAATACAGAAGAAGACAATTGTCCTTAGCACTCGCTGCCACGATATACTCAAATCAGAGAAATCCATGTTATGAAACTCTAATAACCCACAACAATCAACAAATATATATATCTAGGAATACTCTTCCAAAACCATTCTCAATCCGACAAGCTAGATATGCAAGTGACTGGAATCTTACGATCCCACAAATAACACAACGACTACCTGCACTAACACCTCCAGGGAAATTAAATAATCCAAACATTAACTTTGAATTAAGCAACTTAAACAAAAAAGAGACATCTGCAATAATATATCAATCCAGATTCAGTGAAATCGCCAATAAATACAGAAATCATAAACACATATACACGGACGGTTCCATAAACAAGGAACAAGGTGGATGTGCAATAATAACAGACAACCAAGAACTGACAAAGGAATTTCAATTCAATTTTCACATGTCAAGCGTACGCAATCTTACAGGCCTTACGATACATAAAATCCTCAGAACACAATCTGTCTGTTACATTTACCGACTCCAAATCAGTTCTACTTGCTATGGAAGACCTTACAAGTACAATAAAAATAATTCAAGATATCCACGCCGAATTAACAAAACTTCAATTAGAAAAAAATGTTCAACCCGAATTTATTTGGATTCCATCACACCAAGGAATCGTAGGCAACGAAAGAGCAGATGAGGCTGCAAAAAAAGCCATCACGTTAGAAGAACCATATGTCCAAATATTACCCACATTAAATGAAACCAAAAATTTAATAAAAAAAACAGCAAAAGAAATCTGGAACCAGGAATGGACCAACATGCCACCAACGAAGCTACACCAAATCCGAAAATCAACTAGCGATACAACTCCGACCCTATCAAATAGAAGACTGCAAGAAGCAATAACAAGATTGAGAATTGGCCACACAAATCTAACTCATTGTTATAAAATAACAAAATCACAGCCACCATCATGCACCTTTTGTGACGAACCTCTCACAGTTAAGCATTAAATTGAAGAATGTCAAGGAATACAGCACGATCTCGTAGAGTCTAAACTTTTAAATAATATGCAAATGATTCTCAATAATAGAAACGAATTCCTCAAACTAGTAGAGTTATTAACTAAATATGGAATAATGAACAAATTGTAATTGAATTGTAAATATTAACGTCACTAATAACCCTGTAGTTGTGTGACTTTAAATAAAGTAATTTAAAAAAAAAAGACACATTAACAAAAAAATTTGTAACTAAGATAATTTGTGAACACGGCAGTCCGAAAACAATTCTCACCGATCAAGGAACTAATTTCCTTAGCCAAATTTTCAAAGATACTTGCAAGCTACTCAAAATCAACATAATACAGACAACAGCTTATCATCCCGAATCTAACGGAGCGCTAGAAAGAAGTCATCGCACACAGTCGAATATTTAAAAAACTTTATTAACGAGGATCAAGCTAATTGGGACGATTAGTTACCATATGCAATGTTTACGTTCAACATTACTCCACATACAGCGACAGGTTTTACGCCCTACAAATTAATACACGGAAGACAAGCAGAACTACCTACATCACTTACATTACCGAACTTACTACACCCGAACCTAACTATACTTATGACAGATACGCTCACGAACTAAAACAAAGACTTAGATCTACCAATGCGATAACAAGAGACATTTTACAGAAACATAAACGACGCTCAAAACAATACTATGACAAAAAGACTACGCACAACAAATTCAAACTAGGCAAAAAAGTACTATTACACGACGAAACAATTCGTCGAGGACGAACAAAAAAATTGTCACCGACCTGGATAGGACCCTATACGATTATACAAGTCCACGATATAGAAAACTACACAATTAAAAAGCGCCATCGAGCTCTACGTGTACATACTAACAAATTAAAACATTTCGCGGAATAGCAGAATAAAATAACCATGTAGCAAACTAAACGACAAATTAACAAAACGTAAAACTTCACGAATAACATCACTTACTGGCGCAAACACCACATTTTTCTGAGGAACTAATGAAACACACACAAAAAAAAATTCACAAAGTTTATATACTATCTAACAAGCACCCCGACCATACAGGTCAGCATTTTGGTTACTGGTGTTCGCAGCCGAAGCAACGGATACCAAGCCTTACCAAATCACGGCATTCCCAAGCCAACCAGGTATCTATTTCGAGGACATAGCAAACCTAAGGACATATACGGATACGCGGAAGTCAGTTTTCCACATCGATACAAGCGCACTAAAACTGTGGTATGCAAGAATCCGGTCAGCTCTAAACGATACCATAAGCCATTGCATTAATAATCCAAACCACAATTTAAAAGATTTTTCCAATAAATTTTCCATAATTAGCACCAATTTAAACACGTCATATCAAATTCTTGATCCGTCTATATGCGTTCGCCGCGGTTTAATCGACGGAATAGGACATTTAGAAAGAGCATTATTCGGCACACTGGACGCAAAAGACAGAGAAACAATTAGCAGACAGATACAAATTTTAAAGCAAGAAGGAATCGCTCAACGAACCTCCTTGATAGACCAAGTACAAGTAGTAAACGCGAATATTAAATTATTTAATGAGACTATGAGTAATATAAATCAAAACGAACACACGTTACTAAACGCAACAAATACCCTGAGTCAACTATTAGAGACAGAAATCAACATTCGAAATTTCTAAGCCAAAATAAATGAAAACTCAATTCTAATTGAAAATTTAATCAGAAACCTCGTAGGGGACGCAAAAAATTTATTAAATTTTGCTGTAGACATTAAAAAAGGAATTCTCAATCCACTAGTAATACCGCCAACACAAATTATTCTACTTACTTCTTCTAATTATTATACACTCGCTTATAAATATAGCGGCATACTCTGACCCAGACTCAATCACCACCATAACCAAAATTCTTTTAGTAAACTCAGAAATATACAAATTAAACAAAGTCTACCCCGTTCCAACTAAGATAAACGAATCATTATACGCGTACCTTGATACCTTGATACCTTAGAATAATATATAGTAATCGATGTAACAAATTCGGACTACATACAAATCAACGACAAAGATTTAAGTAAATATTTAACAACGAATATTTATGTAAAATGTATCATCCACTTTTTAAAGTCACTCCACACGGTTCTTGCGAAGCACAATTATTTACTAAACTCCCCCAGCGTCTAGAAAATTGTAATATTAGACTTATAGCCTTGAAGCAAGCAATGCTCATAGATTTACATCATCCCGGCACATGGATCTATGTAACCCCAGTTCCCATCCAACTAATTGTTATATGTGAATATCACACAACACAAATAATTTACATTCAAGATTCTGGTATCATAGCAATTAAGGAAAAATGTACAATTTCTACAACTGAATTTACGATAGAAACTGGAAACAACTATAAATATGAAAAAACGATAAGCTATCTACCAACATACAATTTAACTATACCTAATTTACCGAAAACATTAGACGTAACACATTTTCAGAAGAATGAACAGTATAAATTGCGCAAACATCCAGAAGAATTGCGAGCAATCAGCAGAAGCCTATCAGATGTACAAACCGAACTTGAAGAAAATAATGCTATACCTATAGAATATTATTATAGCCTTATCTCATCAATCTCGTTAAGTGGAATCCTGATACTTATCGTAGCAATAATAATTTTGTGTAAATTCGTTCCCAAAATAAAATGTAGAAACAAAAATCAACGATTCAGAAATTTACAAACAGCACATCAAATCCTAAGAGTACCACACATCAACGAAAAAATTGTAATCACAGCGAAACCCAAACTATCAGTCCAAAAACAAACTGTTACATGCCGACATTTTCATTTTTATTTTTCTTGATTTCGTCGGGAGGAATGTGCTCGAGATGGTTTACTACCCCGAATTCGTTCTAATCGAGCACAAACCTAGCCTTTCACGGTAGATTGCTAAATTCGTTATGAGAAAGAATACACATTCCCTCCTTGAAATCAACGTCGTCACGCCACTTTCATCCTCCTGGCAACGCCGCGCCGCGGAAAAATCATTGTAAAATAATAAGTGCGTTGCTTGTTACGAATGAAATGCGTAGAATCAGGTAATGTAACAGATAGATAACCACATCGAATATTACCATCGCGTTCGAATTTATAGTTACGGTTATCATTGGAAGAAGGACACGTAAATATTGCGTATTAAAATTAAACGTTTATTCTGCTTCGTATATTGAAACCATAGCATGAAATTGCCGCGTGCTTCGTCCTCGCGCCATGTTGTCGCTACGCGAGCCGAGCGACTTGGTGAGCGCCAGACAATCGCATAGAGCGCGAAATTAGTCCGAGCAAACTATTTAAGAGTTAGAGTGCGTTATTCAGTTAGTATTCAAATACGAAGTAAGCGGTAGGCAAAACACGGGTCGTTCGTTAAATCGGTTTGTATATTAAATTCATATTTAAATTATTTATTTAGTTTTATTTTCTTTTCGTTTATTTTCGTTCTTAGAGTTTCTCGTTTAATTCATTGCTATGTAAGATTCTCGAGAATTCGGAAGTCACGTGACTCGACCCATGTTGCCGAACGTGGGGATTAGAGCAGGGGAGTCTTGCGAAAACCACGGAATGAGTCGGGCGTGTTCTGAAAGCGTTACGAAATAAATATATATCCATAATCTAAAGACTTACAGAAATTTTCAGAAGTGGGATACACGTACGAGCTCTAAAACTAAAAAATTTTTCTGGAGTTTTTCCGTTTTGTATCCTGGACAGTATTCGCGAGTTTTGGTTTTTCGACACTTATTGTTAGTTAAGTTTTGGAAGTTTAGCGGAAGCGTACGAGCATGAGTATTACAAATACAATCGTGCGCAGTTTTTGGAAAGTCTTGAACAAATTACAAAGAATTTCCATAACAAATTACGAACAATCTCAAACAATTACGAACGAACTTCTAAACAAGTTTGGATAAATTCTGGACATTATACAGATACATTACGCTTAGGAGTTCTAATGTTTGATCTAGAAACAAGTTTTGATTTAATTTCAGTTATAAAATTTTCGAAAACATTGCAAGTTGTTGAGTTTAAACTAGCTCTAAGGTTTCAAGGCCGGTTCAATTGTACAGAAAAACGCTGAAATTGGCACCGCGAGAATATTCGCATTTGTCTATTGGTTTTTGTAAAGGTGACTATAGGGACAAAGTGAACAGTGGTTCTCTTACGGAACAGAGCCGTGTAAACACGAGTGGTCGCAGTGTTTATCGCTACGTTTCGACACGGACATTAGACTGAGTTTAGAAACGGTGCTTCAATTAATTATGGAGAGAGCAAGGCTTGAATCTCTCTAGCTAATCGAGTTGAGAAATGAAGTTCAGCGTTTTCACCTGCCAGTGCCGGTCAACACAAGAGAGGCATTGATCGATGCTTTAATGACGCATTTTGAGTATCACAGTCCACAACAAGATATGGTGAGGTTCGAGGGCACTGAGTCGGAGACTACATCGACAAGAAGCGCAGCTAGAGAGGACCATCGAGAAGATCACCCGGTCACGGATGAGATGTTGGCGGATTTCATGACCATTGTTCGCGTTATTTCGCTTGCCCGTTATTTTCGAACGGTGGCGTGCCGGAGCATGATACATTTTCCGCGGTGATGGGACCGACGATGCGCGCGTCATTGCCAACGTATTTTTTGGGACGAAGGGCCCTGTGCATCCACGCAGTGGCTAATCGTGACCGAGCCTTCTAACCCCGGGTCCGGGAACATTGGTTCGCGTACATCGTTCGTGAACATGGTAGCTAACCCTGTTATTCACCGGTTTTCGCCGTAGTGTGGACGGGAAATAGCAGAGTTCGCTAACAAATGACCCTCCTAATAGACGTAAAGTCGTAAAAGTAGCCCCACTGTGTTTGGCGAAAACTGTGTTCGCGAACCAAATTCAGCGATCCACGAGGTGGTGGATCCGGCGAACACGTTCGGGAAAAACATCGCCTTTTTCCTCGTTCTTATCCCTTTTCAAACCCTCGGAGCTTGGGCATTGCTATTCTTTCCAACTGTGGGGCTGGTCTTTATGACTACCCGCAGGTAGGTACATACTCCAAAGGGATAATA